AGAATATAAATATCCATCTAGCCCAGCACGGATAAGCGTGTCAGAAAATGGATGGATGGGTGGATAAATGCCAATGTAAACAGCCTGTGTAATAACCCTGTATAATAATCCTACTTTAAAAAAAATCATAATAAAGCCCATATGTGGATGCACTGTATATACTGTATATATCCCATGCACCTTTTTCTTTCTTTGGCATCCTGAAAAAGTTTTAAAAAATAACCCACTGGACTTTGTTTCCAAAACACCTTCTTCTCTTCTTGACTATTTGAGCTGATGTAACGAGTACATTTCTCCAATGTGAGATCAATAAAGTCAATCAATCGATCAAATTGATTTATTTTGCGTTTTCAACTTCTAAACTTAATAAATTAGGTTGGATAAATTGGATTTAATAACTTGCAACTAATTAAAGCAATTGATTTAAGTTGGAGCAGTATTTTCTTTTTATTGTAAGACTCTCTTTCTTTTATTTTGAACCTTTGCCAAATTTTATTTAATCAATATTGATATCTTGCCATTTAAAAAAAAACTGGTGATAAGGACATTTAAACTCAACATGAAGCCATGAAAAAGAAAAAGCTGCCATAAGTGGATGCACTCTATATACTGTATATACCTTCTTCTCTTTTTGAGTATTTCTAGCTGATGTAATGAGTACATTTCTCTACCGTGAGATCAATAAAGTCAATCAATCAATCAAATGAGTAAGAAAATCAAACACTGTAATGGATATAATGGTGAGATTTTTTATTAAATATTTATGGAAGAATATGAGAAATAAAAAATACTACTATCTCACAACTTTAAATGTGTAAAGGATCTAACCTGTATGGAAGGCAAGAACAGCTTAAAATAAGAATAACAACAGAAACACATAAATTGTCTAAAAAAGGCCATATTAACGAATTGATTGAAAGTTAAGAAAAAAATAACACCTTAAGAAAAGAAAATAAATAAAATAATAAATTAAGTGGACTAATTAGGAAACTAGTGATGCTGTGGGATGGGAGTGTGAAAGTTTATGTATCATAAAACATCCCTCTGTCATATAAAAGGTTATAGTATAAAAGAGCTTAGATAAGATGTTTACCTCCTCAGGAACCTGCATCTAAGTTAAAGTTAATAGAGTTGCACCAAAACTTGTTTTATTATTTTTGCTTTAGAGCTGTTTAACGGGAATAAACAAAAACAAGCATTAATAGCCCCAAACTGAATCTTTCTAGAGGCTCATCTGGTCCATTCATGTCATTTTTGTACAGTAATTTTGATCATCTAATGATTTTTTTATTTATTTATTTACTTTTGAATATGACAGCCCTGTTTTCCCAACAAAATGAAGTAGTTGAACGTTAATCATTTAAGCAGGTGATGAAATTAGAAAACAGATGATGAGATTTACGTCACCTGATTCCCAAAGACTCCGATGGAGCAGGCGGTTGACACCTCCTCCGAACCGAACCAAACCGAGGCGATTTTGGACGGCATCCCCAGGATGAAGACCTGCGCCAAAGAGCAGCAGAACTGACCCAGGAAGGTGACGCCGAACAGGTCGGGTCGGACGCTGACCACTTTGATCCACGTCCCGACGCAGTTGAGCCCGGTCCCCGCCAGCGCGATTACCCGGAGCCCCTTCTTGTCCAGCAGCCAGGTCACCGGGAAGATGAGCGGGATGTAGGTCAGCATGTAGATCATGGACATCCAGTCTATGGTGAATTCTTCCACGTTGTAGAACCTCACGAAGATGTTCCCGATGATTCCGTACTGGATCCATTGATAGGAGTTGCACAGCGAATAGGAGCTAAAGAGGAACACGATGATCCAGCGGCGTTTGTACAGACGGGTCTCCTGCGGCGCGTGGCGGCGGTCCTCTGGGCTTTGATCGTCGGGGAGCGGTGACGCGTCGCGCGCCTCTACCCTCACATGGTTCCCGGACTCCTCCGGGGTTACTTTACGGTCTTCAGACGCTTGTTTCTCGCTCATGTTCAAGTCCTCAATAAATAAACGCACCGCTTCCCTTTAGTGTCTACAAACGGCTAAATAAATACAAAGAAATTTCTACAAATTCATATTTTTCTGGTGTTCATTTATAACAGGAATAAAGTACCGCAGAGAGTTGACGGCACATTGCCTTCCCGAAATGAACTTCTACTGTCAACGTTTCCCCCCTGAAGATAAATGAAGGTTAAACAAGAAATTTCATGAATAAATATAGAATTAGAGGTCGATTTAACACGTGTTTGGACGCCTGCTGTGACCCTCCACCCGGACCCAAACCCGCCGCTTTGAAATCTTTAAACAAGTCGGTTAAAGTTGGCCACCAGGGCGGAGTTTAATAAGGAGAAACTCTCTTTGAACAGCTTGTATCCTTAGTTCAGTCTATATAACAAGTAATTAGATACACCCAGAAATCTCCGTGAGTAATTGAGATATCCTATCTGCTTTATTACAAGTCGGTAATAAAATAAAAACAATTGTAGCCAGTTTATTACATGTACTTCCTGCTTTAATACACTGCAGATAATAGGTGGTTTCATTCGGACCACCGGAGGTTGAGCACAAGCAAACGGTGACAGTGGAGCCCAAGGGCTAAAATCAATCCTTATCCGCACACAGAGCAGTCCTTGAAATGATTTATTTTATGCTTTATAAATATAAGCTACTGTAATTTAATCTCTCACTCTGTTAAACAGTGCCACCCAGAGGCCTGAGCAGAGAAATACCACGTCTGTCACATGTTCTTATCAGCACCTGTGCAGACTTTACACACCCAGCTGTCCTTGCAAACAAAAGAATAAGATGAACCTTGAAGGTTTACAGATGATGTTTCAGAAAAAGAAAAAGCATCAAATTTAATAAATACATCCACTGGGTCGTCTCACTATACCCCATCCTTCAATTTCCAGTTTCTTTTTTTTTACAATTACATTCTCTTTGTCCACAATCAACACTGTCAAAGCTCCTGAGCATTTTTTTACACACAAACACAAAAAAAACCTACAAACACAAAGAACACAAGACCTGAGATGACAAAAGGTGCTCCAAAACACTAAAAATAAGCATTTAAAAATGTGAGCACAATATATTTTTTTCCTCCCTCATTGTAAACATAGACTATTTGATAATTCTACTTACCAAGCCATTTAAATTCACATATAAGATTCACAAACAAGAAAGCAAAGAGACACGGAGAAGCAAAATAAATAGGTCTTGAATACTGTTGGTAACAGGTTGGGCTCATTGTTTGATGGACATGTTAGCCTATCTTGCCTATTCTCGCCTTACTGACACATATCTCCTGTCAGTCTCTGTCCGTTGAGGTCCGTCATCTGTTTTCGCCGCTGGCTTGGAGCAGATCAGCGCTGGTAGTGTGGTACTGCGATGTGCTGGCGGTGGTAGCTGCTCTGATGAGGAGGGTAGAGGAGGTCTGGGGTCTGAGGAGCCAGCCCGGTGCATAGGGGCTCATGGCTACTCAGCACTGATGACAGGTAATTGGCCTCCTCTGTGAGCTGCTTGACCTCCTTCCTCAGGGCGGCATTCTCCTTCTCCAGGTTCTCACTCTCCTGCAAACACAGCAATCAAATTTTAGATCTTAACTTTTGTGGGGAACAACAATTTTAAAAAATTTTTGTGGTTAAACCTCATTTTTTCTTGCATCAATCAACAAATATTAAAGATATATATATTTTATAACTTCTTAAAGGTATAAACCTAAAGAGGTTTAAAAAAAATAATAAAAAGCTTTGGTTTCAAAATGGCATTTTTTCTATGTTCCCAAGGATTAAAGTCCTTTTAAAATGCCTCAGAAAGCATCGGAGTGACTGGAGTCTGAGTAGCACTTTTTGCCCCTTCCCAAGCTGTTTCAGGACTTTGTTTTAAAGACGCTGGCTGCTGCACTTCTGCACTTTCCAACATTTACAAAAATAAAAAAGGAGCTGTTTAGAAAAATGTCTACTTGCAGCAAAGTGCAGTAATTAGATACTGTTGATATTATTAGAACTACAAGAGTGAGAATTTTTAATTATTCTTACAGCTGTTTGGATAATTGCTCATTTTCTGTTAAGAGTAATGAAATGGAGGAATCAATCTGTTTTGTTTTATAACAGTAATGATTTATACTTTTGTCATTATACCATTTCATTTTTGGTTATTTATAGTATTAGACTTCTTCTAGTATTGCTTAATTAGAAAAACTAGTGCAGGAAAAAAGGACTACACATACAGCATTGAAGTACAATGATTTGAAGCAATTTTAATTTGTCCTCTATCTATTTTTCTAGTTTCTAAGTGTGCTTATTCTCTACTTTTGGGCCTGTAATATCTAGACTTGGAACCTCATATTGGTTATTAAAATCATACTTTCCTTTATTGTGTTTTCTACCTGTGGGTATCAATCCTTTAAAACTCAGTTTTCTAAATGCTGCAAAATTGAAGATTTCTTATAGGTAAAAAGCATAAAAATAAGACAGTAAACCAATGAGGCTTTAAATTAATTAAAATACAAAGTACTAAAAAAAAAGAATATGTTTTATATCATCATCATATATTCTATGGGAGTTTAGCTGTGTGATTTGAAGACAGCTGCATCGCAGAGGACTGATAAATATTTTCTTGCAATTTCAATTCTCTTTTTTTTTTATCGGAGTAGGGATTTTCAGGAATTTTGAAGCACTCCCCTTATAAAGCTGGGGGGGAAAAACTAACTTCCCTCGGTTAAATTTCTTGTTGATCATAAACATGACATGTGATGTCATTTAAAAAAAAAACAGAACTAGGCCAATACCACCAGTTATTAATGTTTGAGACGATTTGGTTGCACTGCTTATATAGACAAACTACATTTAGGTAATTCCTACATGAAAAAAAAAAAAAAATGAACAAACATTTTCAGTTGTAATTGCTGTTATTTCCCTTCCTACTTACTCACTGAATCTACTATGAAACTCAGGAGTCCCCCCAGGGAGGCCCTCCTTCCTCACACAAGCATCTATTCTCTGAAGAAATCATATGGTGAAGTACTAGTAAAAAGTAAAAAATTTTCAGATCTTGGTTTTTTTTTTTTCTCAAATTAGTTATCATGCTAGCACTTTAGCATTATACTAAAACCACCTCTGAGGGTAAAGTACCCTTGCCCAGAACCACTAACAGTGGTTTGTTTCACTTGCCAGTGCATGACAGACATGGATTTACATGTAAACAGCTGATATTTTTAACTGGTTTTGATATTTTTTAACACACTATCTTGAACAGAACATATTTTTGGTAGCTGTAATAAAAAACTTTACTCTTTGACATAAAGATCGCTAAATAAATGCCTGAATAGACTATTTAACTTTTGGTCCAGTGCATAAATTAACTTTCCTTTTTGAGTGTGCATAACTAAAAAGAAAATAATGTTTCATACGTCAGATAAAACAAGCTCTTTATGTTAGGCCAAAATTTAGTAATTGTACTGTAAGTATAGTTCCTGTTAACAAATACAAATACTATCAACTTCTCAACTAGTTTTATACTGTACTTCTGTATAAAAATGAATCAAATGTAAGGTAACCTTGGAGCATTCTTTGTAATGCTGTAAGATATGGTATCAAACTGTGTTTCAGAAGTCTGGAAAAACAAGAGAAACCACCTGCAAAGTCTTGCAGCAGCATCACAGTGTGAGGAGTTGCCATTCAAAGAGACTGAGAGCTACATTTTCCAAAACAGGCCAAAGCATACATTGATGATCAAGTTGGAGTTAATTGTACGTCACAACCTGAAAATGTTTTTTCCCTTTTTTGTCAAATTTTTTTCTAACGTTTTTGTGTGGGAATTGTGGGGCAGAAATCTTCCACTCAGGTGGTAAAAAGGTCATCTCACCATGACCAACCTTCAGGTCCTTACTGTCACACAAGCTCTGGGTAAACCCCATCTACATGCGTCACTTAGCCAAATACAGCCCACTGCTATCAGGGCTTTACAAGAAGTGACAGCCCTTTTTTTCTCCCCTGCTGCCCACGACACACAACATTCAATCTCATTTACACAGAAGAAAATACTACAGAAGAAACAGGAAATAAGAGACTGTGTCACAACAAGGGAAAAAATTCACCTTCCTGTTTATCTAGCGAGACGATGAAAGCAAAACCACAGAGCATGTTCTGTGGTCCCCTGCTGTTCTTTGTGAATGCGACAGGGTTTTAAAGAGATTGATAAAATACGACCTGTTTCTCTGGAACGAGCTTCATACATTCAGATCCGTTTCACAGAATCTACTACAGCCTACAATGTGGCATTTTTTTAAGGTCAACATCTCTTCAGGAACAGAAAGGATCTGATAAAGTTCATAGAAACTAATGTTCTGATAATACGTTAGCAGAGCACAGTATTATAGTGCACATTGTCTTTTAGAGAAAAAAAAAATAAAAGAAAAATAACATTGTGAAGATTGGAAATGAATATTTATTGAATTATTAAATGTTTTGTAGAAGAAAGGAATACCTGAGCCTGGAAATCTATCTAAGCTGATCACAATTATCACATTAAATGAACTAACTGAAGACTCACTCCAGTCATCAAGCTCAGCAGAGCTGCAGTCTTGGCGCTGGACTTTTCCTTGCCCACACGTGTTAATTTATTCCTTACTCTTTTGCAAACACACAGAAAGGCACCCAAGTCTTCAGCCCAGCAGAAGACATGACACATCACCACATGGTCAGGTAGCATTTTGTAAATATAGTACAAACTCATTCCCAAAGACATAAAGTTCTGTCCAGGTTCTCATGCAAAGAGGCACTTTTGTAAATAAAGGTCAAGCTACCTGTTTTTCCAGCCAGAGCTGTCTTTAACACATCCTGTAGATAAATATACATTATAATCAACTATCTTTTCGAAGAAGATACTAAAGATCATCTGCAAGCACATTTCATGTGCACGTCTGTTTTCTGGGTGTGATGTTTGTGGCCAAGTCTTTAGTTTTCATACCAAGTGAAGGCTGTCAGCTTTCTGAGTTTGCCTCATCCGGCTCTTCTGGGCTGCAATCCGGTTCTTCTCTCTCCTCATCACCTTCTTTGCATCGTCTGAGGAGCTCTGGCAAGAACACAACCACCTTTCAGTTCAAACAACACAAAACCGTCATAATAAATGATATATTATTTGTATATTTTAGCTATTATTGGTGGCTAAAGCTGGCAGCATCATGTATGTCTATTGCAGTTTAACAGGAGATGGGGTTTGCATTGCATCAATTGCAAAGGGTAGGGTCAGGGAGTGGCTGAGTCATCTGTTAGGTGAAACGCACACCCTGTTTCAAGTCCC